GCCCACACCTGTATACCTGGCGCATCTGACCTGATGTACCAGCCCACACCTGTATACCTGGCGCATCTGACCTGATGTACCAGCCCACACCTGTACACCTCACACACCTGATCCGAAGTGCCAGCCCATACCTGTACACCTTGCACAACTGACCCTAAGCACCAGCCCATACTTGCCTGAATACCTTGCATAGCATTCCTGACCCACTGCGACAGTGTTTCTAGATATCAGAACATATTTCTGTACATACGTCTGTACAACAAATAGTCTATATTTTTGATCAGCCTGTTTGTTACTAAAAAAAAAAAAAAATTAAAGCTGGGTGCTTCATAGGTAGGGCTTAGTCTCCTTCATTGTCACAACAAACAGATTCAGTGAAAAGTTTTATTTTATTATTTTGAACCATTTGTTTTGCTCCTGGTTTGAATCTATAAAACTAAGGATAAAAAAGGAAAGATTAATTTGCTTTTATTATGCTGGGGGTCAATTTGCTCGAAGTATTCAAAACCCTTAAAAGTTAAAGGTCTGCATATTAACTTTTTAATGAGTTTATCTGAGCCATCAGTGATTCAGGAATCAGGTCTCCCAGACCACCAGCAGTTCCTGTCTGCTGGAGGGGGCCTGGCAGGAGACCATCCTCTTCTAAGGCTCTGCCAAGAAGCAAGACAAAGAAAATAGATTGATGGTTAAAGTGGAAAGTCTCTAGTTGGAAGTTAGTTGGCAGTTTTTGATTGGTTAAGCTGGATAACAGTTTCTTTTTACTGTTTACACTGAGCTGAGTTTGGACATTTCTCAGGCTTATGGCCTCCCAATTATCTCAACAAAGCATGTATTCTCATAAGATCACATTGAATAAACAGCAGGCAGGCTTCTATTTAATTAAAATGAGTTTCTTCTTTCAAAATGACTTTGCCATTGGTTCTAAAGAAGGGGAGGTAAAATTTAGGTTCACATCAAATTTACTTTCTTTAAAAAAGCCAATATCATTCCTTTTTAGTGGTTATAATTCCCCTTTTTACTTTAAAGTTTTACCTTAGGATTAATCTGTTGGAGACCATATATAATTAAAAGGAAAACTGGAGATGTTTATGCAATCAGTGATCCTGCTTCCAGTAGCCATGCTTCCTCCTTTTCTCCAAAGGATATATTTTAGTGGAGTTTACACAATTAAAGGGAATGCCTGCTGAGTGGCTTGAAATCAGCCATTAGGAGTGAATCCAAAAAGCAGTAGTACCCCCCTGCTGGGTGAGGAGATCAGAGGTAGTGCTCCTGTTGAAGTTGTGTTTACATTAATTATGGCTTAGGACAAGCAGCTGGGGATGGAAGGGGACAGGGATGCTGCTTTTCATTCATTTCCTCCCTCCCTCCTTCCCTCCCTCCCTCCCTTCCTTCCTCCCTCCCTTCCTTCCTTCCTTCCTTCTTTCCCTCCCATCCCTGATGCTTCTCCCTCCCTCCTCTTCCTCCCCTTGGCTCTCTTCCTCTCCCCTCCTCTCTTCTTCTCCCTTCTCTTCCCTCCCCCCCATTCCACATGGAATTAGTTTGAATCTCCACTTTGGGGTTAAGTGTCTCCTCCCCTCTGTCCCTTTCCTTCTCATGACTAGGGTGACCAGATGTCCACTTTTGGCAGGACAGTCCCGCTCTTAAACAATGTGTCCCATGTCCTGCGGCGTTTTAAAAAAGTCCTGACTTTTGGAAAGAATGCACGAATGGGC